TTTTTGTTATTATTGTTATGATTAAAAACCTTATCGAACTGTGCTAATGGAACTACCTGTTCAATGAGAAATCAGGGTACAAAGGATTTTTTAACAGTATGTAAGAAGGAGAAGGAGGAGTGGCAGACCCCATAAAGTATATATTTCTGTCCGTCTGTACGTCCGTATGAACGCCTAAATCTTAGAAGTTGCAAGAGTATATCATACAAGTCTATCATATTTCTTTCAATAACTCATCCGATTTTATCCCTATTAAACCTGGAGAGTTAAGATTTACTGTTTATATACATTTGATGAATACGAAGAGTTTGTAATTACAGATAGTTTTTTTTGTTTCATGGGTTCAGGGTTTAAAGTAAATTATTTACTGTCGTATAGTAAGATCCAGCATAGTACTTCAGATTTTAATGCTTTTGCTAAGATACTAAAACATGCTAAATATACATATATTTAAGCACTCTCTGCTTACTTGTTGTTATAACGTTTCTTCGATATGAAATTCTATTCAATAGCTTAATAAGTCTCTAGTCCTTAAAATAACTTGTCATATTTAGCGAAAAATGAGGGTATCAATTTTACCATTTTAAAAGAAATCGAAATAGAAATATTTCCTCAAAAATGGAAAGCGCGTGTAGCGTATTGTATGAGCGAGTAACAATTTAAAATGTAATTATGGCTTATGGGCAAACATGTATATGGTCAACGTATATTGAAAATAATGATTTTTATACTGGTCATATTAAGTCAATATATAACATTCCTTACCATTTAAAACAACGAAATTCAAAGTAAACGATTCCGAGTCCGTATAAAAAGCTGTGGTTATTCCAATATTTTGGACATAGCCGCATATACTTCTGATAGGCAGATAGAGCTAGAAGGGAAAAAAGTTCATATTCTATTAATTTATTTATATGATATAGGCAATCATAAAACTTTAATACTTTTAATACTAATATTAAGAAAATATTTTTTGTTCGTGCAAAAGCGAACATCAATATCTGCCTATGTTATATGCGTAACAAGAGCATCACAAAATATAGGTAGTTTCCTGAGAGTCCGAATTTCAAAATCAAAGCTCTATGAGCAATCCAAGAGAGTTCACAAAATTTTATATACACATATACGAGCACAACCACTAATAATTCGAACAGCATGCTTTTTGCAGTGTCCAATGTTTATCATCAACACTACTAAAGATAACACGTACCAATGCATTTCGTGTTAAAGAGAATTATTCTCTTCACGATGAAAAAGTTTTGCTTTATTTTGAGCAACAACAATAATATGAGTAATTTATTCAAACGGTTTACTTAAGAGATAAGAAAAATTTGACCACTATTAATTGGAACGCTGCGTAATGTGATTAACTATAATACTTAAAGCAATAATTTAATTAATATTAAAATTGTGTAACGTCACTCTTGGCTGCGTCATGCATTTAACTCGTTTTGGCATTGATTTCAACAAATTTTTGCAATGCTCTTGAGAAATTGAGTCCCACATCTCTTGCAACTTGATTTTCAGGTCAGAAATACTCGTTTGTGGCTCATTTCGTAGCTGGTTTCTCATTAGCCACCAAATATTTTCAATTGGGTTTAGATCTAGGCTATTTGATGGCCAATCTAGAACCCTCATTTGATTATATTGCAGTAGTCTAACATTAATATTTGGTTTTTGTATTTTTCAACTTCAAACGCTCATAAAACATGTAATATTTGTTTAAATTAAAAAAGTGAAAATGCTAAAGTGTTGGTTGAAGAATTACCTTTAGGATGACGTATATATCAATATACAAAGTTTATTTCATATAATTAACAAAAATTTTGCAAAAACCGGAAAACACAAAATTTGGCGTTACTTTAATATTCGGTGTTTTCTTCAGCAAGTGACCAGATTCTAGATCTATCAAAAAGCGGTTCATATTTGACATTTGGTATGATACTCATTTTTTTTTAGAGTGCCCTTAGACATTTTTGCATATACGATTTTTTGTGTCCTTAGAGCCGATTTTTGTCCACTCTTCCGGTATCCTTTAGGTCAGATATTGCTGATATCGATGTTTTGTGACCTCGGCAGTCTATCTAGCTCCATCAATTTTCTATAGTGTTCTAGTCTGGGAGTTGGTGATATGTTTCCAAAAACTTTTGGCAACTCCACAGTACGCGATTTTTTGGGCTTATGCTTAAGGTCATTGTCCTGGAACAGCTTAAATTTGTCTGAAATATCAATTTGTCAGACAACTATTTCCAATTTTCTTTAAAAATTCATTAAGATTGAGATCAAGATGATGAATTCATAATGTCATCTCAAAATTCTATACATCCCTTCCCTTGATAGAAATAAAACCTCAAACCAAGACAGAATCCTTAGCTTGTTATACGGCTACCGTCAAATTTGTTATCAGCTCTAGATGAAATTTACGGAAGACCATGCTTTCCAGTACTTCCCAACAAGTTGAATATGTTTACGTCAAGGAATATTACGTCACCTTACCAAATTTGGTACACTTTGGTGGACTCAGTTATGAATAATATTGGCCATTCCCGTTATGGTTTGGAGATGATTTACTTGGTGGAACGTTCGTCATCTACATAGAGTAGAAGGTATCATGCGGAAAAAGGATTATATAAATACCATTTCCCCGAATTTTTTTGGATTTTCAACAAAATGGGAACCCGAAACATACTACAAAAAAGTTTAAGGAATGGATTGGAAAGAAAATTTTGTAGCTAATGGATTGGCCAGCACAAACTCAATCCTATTGAAAATCTGTGGTCAATGGGAACGCGTAGAAGCGGGGTGGAGTCTAATTCTGAAACAAATGATTCAAGGTTTAGTTGATAGCATGCCAAAAAGAGTCAAAAAAGTTATTGCTTATAAGAATTTTTGTACCAAATTCTAGAATTTTTTAGTTCATTCATTATTAGGGACACGAAAAATAAGATCTCTTTATGGTCAATGTTTCCCTTGCTCTCTCTCTCTCTCTCTCTCTCGATGCTCTTTGCTCTCTCAAATATGTATTGATCTACTTTTTGCTTGTATATAAGCAAAAAACTAAGTTCGCAACAAACAACAATTATCACAAACAAATTAATCGTTTTTAAAAAATCCTTTTCGGGTGAAACCCTGTATTTTTCGCAGAGTTGCACATATCTATTTTGATTAGTTAATTTACAAAACTTTTAAAAATCTGCAAAAAAAAAAAAGAAAATGAGTCGTAGAAACAATGACACCAGCGCCATCTCATCAAAAAGTTTATTCCGGCTGGGAATTCTCACAGCAAAGTTGGTCGTTTGATGGGTTGTTTAAATACTGATCCACAATTCATTAATCCATAAAAAAAAGTGATGAACATCATGTCACTCGACTCAAAGGACCTAAACATATCAGCAAGACATCACTATTGGAATTCTCAGCGTTCAAGAAAAATACCATACTTTAATATATAACACATTTCCGAGCGGATGGCGATCGCAAAGGAACACAAATATTAGTCTAGATGTGTAAGGGTATAGAGTTGCTTTTCGTACTATGGTGTAGGCCCAATTCATTGGATCAAACCCATAATTGACCGCCATGTTTATGTTAATATATTGGAAAATGTGACGCAAACATATCAGAAAGAAAGCGAAGGAATGGTTTCAGGAGAATTCAAGCGACTGGCCTACGCAGCCGCCGGACCTAATTCTGATTGATAATTTGTGGGCGGATGAAGTGCAAAGTCGTTCAGGAAACCTGAGCTAAAATTCTCTTTAAACGATGCCAGGACTTGTCTAGGCGTTTCAATTTAAAAAAAAAAAAAAAAAAAAAAAAAAAAAAAAAAAAAAACGATGAAAATTTTTGTTGCAATAATTTATTTCTGGTTATATTAAAGCAAAAAGTAGATCAATACATTGATAAATGTACCGAGCTGTATATGTATGTATGCATATGAGCACAAGTAAAAATCTGAGCTCTTTAAACTGTTTGCCTAGCTGGTTATTATTTGTGTGAAGGGTATGAAATCGTTTGTGCGCATAATGTTCTCGCGGCGAGCGTGCATATACACACTACAGCCCTTGCTACATACATATATCAGCGTTTGTATGCCTGTGTGAGATGCTCTTGCTGCCTGTAGCAATTTTAAAGCCCAGCATTTGCATTTGGTCGATCTTGTGAAAGTTGCTGAACGATTCTATTTTTGGTTACTCGGAAAATGTATATGCAAGAAAACGAATCAACGTTTGATTGCTCCGTTAGATATCATAAAGTTTCAAAATAGCTGAAAACATATAACGGACGCGCCAACGCTGTCATACCCTTCCCACCTATAATAACGAAAACGCAAATATTTTGTACGAGCTAGGCAAACGTTTTGAAGAGATCGATATACTCTTCACATAGTCTTCCTTTCTTTGTGAAGAGTATATAACATGGGGTTCTTGCTGCGAAGAAATTTCAATTTTCGTGACCTGCTGCTTATGCTCACATACATATATATATATATATTAGATGGATGCATGGCCGTACTCATAACCCAGCAGAATAGAGTCCATTCGAGAGGAGACTGAGTGAGTGAGTGCGAGGTCGTTGGTCGGCCGTCTGGCCTGCACACACACGATTACATTGCCCTTCGTTTTTTCGTTGTTTTCTCTGCTAACAGCGACGCAACTCATATACTCGGTGAGGCAACTCATATACCCGGACTCATATTCAACTCTTTCTCGTTCAATAGAATATTGTGCCTCTGAATCATATACGAGCGCACTCACTCATAAAATTTCTGATTTGGCCTCGGTGCCACTCAATTCAATATGAGCATTGTTAATTCGAGTACGATTTTTTGGAACTCATGCAGCCCTCTAATACATATACATATTTAAGAGAGCAGAAAGCAGAGAGAGAGCAAGAACAAAAAATTGAGCATAGCAAGATATTCTGTTCAACAGCCGACTATCTCGGTCAAGCGCATGAAGCGAAATAAATGAGATTTCGTATATTTTCGTAGCCCGAACCTAAATGTGAAAAGCCGAGCGATACGAAGTGGTTTTGGAGATAACCCTCGAAGAAAAGTGGGCAAAAAGCTTTAGCTGGACAAGTGTCCAGTCTATGTGTTCTATGGTTAGTGATGCTATCAAATGAGTTAGAAAATGTTTATTCTAGTTCAGTTCATCATCATCAATTTGTTCGTTCATTGAAAATTGAACTACCTAACTATTTAGTTATAATTCAACTATAATGGAAAACAATTTTTCACGCGATTAATCGCTACAAATTATGATAAATTGGACAGTAAAGAAACAAACAAAGGCTCTAGCTGAGACTGCTCGCTTAGGCGATACCCTGAACCCTTCAAGCTGATATTCTAATCATTCTGCACTTCTTTTATGCACACATATGTACATGCATGCACGTGCATCAAAACGCACGAATAAGCCCGCGCTCTGCGGGGTAAGCGGATAGCTGCAGTGTGGGCAATATTATGAGAATTTATTTGCTGAATAATTTAAATTCTAGACGTACAATTAATGAAACTTTCAAACGTTATCATAATGTTGTATGTATTTAAATGTATGTACACTCCAAAACAAAAGTCTTTAATTGTCTGGTGATTCATTAGCCGAACATTTAATAAACTTATTATTAGTGTACCACGATAATTTGTTTCGGTTGAAAATGTGAATGAAATATGTAAATATATATACAATAATAAAATTTATAAATACAGGCATTTATAAACTTCCTTAGATGTTCGGCTTTACAATTTTCACAGGCAGCAGGAGTTGCGCATACAAGCACACAAATGCTCATACATGTAGTGAGGGACTGAAATTGTATGTGTGTATGCTCGTCGCCAAAACATATTCTTTATGCGCCTACACGCTTTCATACCCTTCCTAGAAATAAAACGCAAACATTTTGTATGAACGTGACAAAAGCTTTTAAGATATCGGTATACCCTTCACTCAAAAGGAAAGAGCTGGGATTGTCGCGAGCAATATCAGTATTTGCTGATGAGTTGGATGATTTGAATGACGGTGGAGAGAGAAAAGTGAGAGAGACTTAGAAAAATAACGCACAGCCGTGCTTCGTATAAAAGCGGAATTATTTTGTTAAAGCGTTCGCAGCGCACTGACTTTGTCGTGCCTTACTTTCTCTGCTCGACCCTCAAGAGACAAATAAGAAGTTGGCTTGTCTCTTATGCGCATTTTTTCTGCATTGAAAAAGTTTGTTCTACATGTCTCATCTATGTGTTCTTTGGTTAGTTTTGTGCATTAACAACTATTAAATTACCTTCATAATATTCAGTCAATAGCAAATGCAAATGACCGAGTTTACAGTAGGTGTTTATATCAACTTCTCCAACTCCGATATTTCCCTTAGTTGTCAAGTCACTTGCCAATGCAAATTTCGTATCACAAACATTGGATTCTATGCCAGAGTTTTCCTTAATCTGTTCCTCATATTTAACAGATACATCAGTTTTTACATTGGCATGTTGTTCATCACGTTGCTTGCTTATGTTTAATGAATGAGAACTAGCCAGTTCATCTTGCAATATTGTAATGGATTGTTGAATAAGATCTTTTATTCCATTATTCTTAGGGTCCGTGAAATCAAGGAAACCATAATATCGGCTGAAATTCTAAAAAGTTAGGCGTTTATTTTTTTTATGCATTAAAATATATTTACATTACCTATCTAACTCTTGAACTATATAAAGATCATCAATAGATTTTAGAAACATTTTGCTTATCGCATAACGGCAAACAAATCTTTTATTAACGAAATTTGACTTTTCTTCGAATAATATGTTTATATCAAATGTTTAGTTGTTCACTCGCTCATGAACTATAAGTTCAATAAAATGGCTCCGTTTTTTACAACCTTCAAATAGGGGTATTCCTAACATTTTTGTTGTTATAAAATTAATATGAAATAAATGCTTGACTTGAAAGAATTGATATATCAATAAATCGCACCTCTTTTGTATAAAAGACACACATACACGCACTAATAATCACTAGTTGGAATACCAAATATGGGAATGTGGTAAATTCAATCCGCATCACAGCCAATATGCAAATGTGTGTATGCTCTTCATAAGACCGACCAACGAAAGATGTCATAGGCGGCAAGAGCAGACACTAAAGTACATAATTGCTTATACAAGGTGCAAGCAGCTTTAGCTTTCGAAATACTATATTCTCATGAAAACGAAAACATTTTGCAACAGTATGCTAAATTGAGATCGATGTAAATAAACTTAAATTTGTATAAACTGATGCATGCATGTGAGTGCGTCATAGAGAGAGAGAGTGAGAGTGAGAGAAAGAGATAGGCAGAGAGAGAGAGAGAGAAAAAAAAAGAGAAGAAGAAGTAACAAAAACCTGGGGAACCAGGTTATGTTTGCACAGGCAGCAAGAGTAAGGCACATAGGCACCTACACGTCCGTGTAGCAAGAATATGCAAGTGTGTGATTTGCGCCCGTCGCGAAAACGATTTCTTCATTCGCGGTAACGGTTTCATACCCTTCCCACATATAATCATCGTAACTCTAAAATTGTGTTTGCATGAGCGTGCAAACGCTTTTAAAAATTCGATATACCCCTTACTTAAAAGGAAAGTGTTGGGATCGTCGCGAACAAATTTCAATTATTGGGCCCTGCTATTATTTGAGAGACCATAGAAACAGAACATAAAGAGAGGAAAAGATATAGTATGGCAAAAAGAGAACGTTTGTGCACTAACAGCGTACTGTTTTTGTCGTGTTGTTTTTTCACTGCTCGAGCCTCCATCGACCGAGTCGAGTAACTTATGTGCTGTAAAAAATTTTTTTTTGCATAACCAGTCTTTGTGTTCAAAATATATTTACATTATCTATCCTTCTCTTGAACTATATAAAAATTATCAATAGAGTTTACAAACATTTTCATATTGCATTAACGGCAAACAAAAAACTTAACAATGACTTAACAAATTTTTAAATTGCAAATATGATATACGTAATTGAAATATGTACGTATGACATTCTTCGATAATACCTAGTGTGTAAAACTTTAAATCATTGAACAATAACATAATCTAAGAATACCCCTGCAGATAAATACTTTCTTTTTTGTATTGATTCCATTCGTTTCGGTGTGGAATAATAGATTTATGTTATTTTATTGTGTGCTACCGTTGTTTTGATTTTTTAAAAGGAGAAAGTAAAACTGTCGGAAGTAATGTAAGTGAATAAAAGTTATCAAAAGACTGATGTATGTAGATATATGTAATAATAACATACTCGTGCAATGTGAAGCGGTCTTAGTATTATATATATGTATATATATTAAGTATTACACTATGTACATACATATGTATGTATGTATATAATTGGTAAAGGATGAGATGCTCACATATTCAAAATAAAAACAAATGATATGTTTTTCCTAAAGTTATACTTAAAATGTAAAATATGTTTACAATGCGTATACACACACACACACAAAGAGAGAGAGAGAGAGAGAGAGGGTATTAAAATCGGGGTGTACCTAAACTTCTTTTTGGTCGACTCTATGTATGTATGTACATATATTCATATTTTGTACAGGGTATTTCAACAATTGTTTCATAGTAAACTTTTTCAGCGTATTTAGTTTTTTATATATGTAGGTCTATTATACTAGTTTTACGTACATATGTATGTATGTATAAGTACATACATACATATATGTTTGCATAAAGTCAAACACATTTAATATCGCTTAATATACTTTAAATAAAAAGAAGATAATACACGATTTCATATATATATATATATATATATATATATATATATATATATACATATATATATACA